CTCTGACCACTGTGTTATGAGGGTGGGCTTCCAGGGCTAGCACTAGGTCCTTTGAATATTCTTTCTGAATTTATTTTAAACACCTTTCAACAAATTCACCCCACTACCACCATTTTTCAGTCAAATGCTCACTTCTGACAACTCAGTTTGTCCCCCTCAAACATTTGTACAAATATATTACTATTTTGTCATATTAAGCACCTTCAAACTGCTCCATTTGAACTTGCATCTTTGTCCTGTAATTAGGAGCAATGGCATTTCAATACTAATAAAATCCAGTACCAAAAATGTAAGTAAGCTTTTACTCCAAGCTCTCAGCTAAGATTTCAAAACTGACGGTGCTCATAAAGCCTTCAGGTGCAAGTAGCCATCAGCTTTTAAAAACCATTTATATTACACGTCTGCTAACTTCCGTGAGCTGCTTCCTGAGATTAAGGTGATGCCTACATACAAGCTGTCAAAAGATAGGGAAAGTCTTCCAGCTGCAACATTCACTTGTGTTGGATGTAGACTGTAATTACTCACTTTCTCATCCATATCTGTCTATCAAGGTAAATATTACTTAACCAGAGGTCTTTTGCATCAACAGAAAGAGTTCATCTTGTTACATTTGTTTTGATCTATTTGTGGCTTGTATCAGAGCACAGTGACACCACCAGCATAATAAAACAACAATAAAATTAGATGGAGCCTAGTCATCTCTAACAACCATTTCTGTTCACATGAAGACAATCATGCACACAGTGCAGCCTGCTCCCTGCCTCTATGTTTCCCAAGGATCCTCAGATGCTCACCAGGAATAAGATACAGTCTAAATTATTGGGCAGTAATGCCCCAGATGCCTTCTCTACTTAGAGTCTCATGTCCTGGTCCCAGTACACGTTTCTGGGGAGCAACCTGTAATGTCCCTGCTGTGCTGGAGGGTCCATGTCTTTCACTCATTCAACCAGCTCATATGCGTACATGAGGTCATGAGGCTACCTACCTGTAAGGCACCTATAAGGTGCTTCTTAACAGGTCAAACGGCCTTCCTGTCAGAAAGGGAGAGCCAAGGAAGATCACCATTAACCTACGGGGCGAACCCTACAAAAAGAAGGGCTGCCAGAATAGGATAGTATTACCTAGCTTGGGCACACAGACACATCACACACCCTTAAAACAAAATTGACAATAGAAGAAACTTTGTTTTTTAACTATGCTGAATACCTTTTATTAAAACTCTTTTCCTAAATCAGCATTGGGTTTTTTAAGTAGTTATCCCCATATGAAACACACCTCAATGCCGCTTGCAGATTTTTACAGCTGTTGAACCATGCCATCTGCTGGCTTTCTTGAGAAAGACAGACTGGGGAGAGCTCAAAACAGCAAGGTGGTTCCCGGGCTTAAAAGGACCAGAGACCCTTCTACCCAGATTCCTGTGGGAAAAGATGGCCCTGCATATGTCAGGCTGACCCTCGAGTACTTCCAGCAAAGGAGATTTCACCATGGCTTTGAGCAACTTATTTCAGTATTAACTCTTTTCACAGTGAAGTATTTTTTCCTTCTATACAGACAGAATTCCCCAAGTCCTCTTGCCCTGTCATTGCACGTCTTTGTGAAGAGTGCCTCCAGCTTCTTCAGAAGTACCTTTCTCTGTGTCTTCTGAAGACAAAGATTACCCAGAAGGAAGGAGCCAGAGCACCCTTCTGCAATACAGCCTACCATTAGAATATGCGTATCAGTGATCACCACATCCAAACCTTCTCATTGCCAGAGAAGGAACCAGAAAAAGTGGCTAATGCTAGAGAGAGTATCTCTAGCCTCCAGGATGTCCCCAGCCACTTTTGCTTGTTCCTTGCTGAGTGTAGTTCTGATAAACTCACTACAGCCCTCTCTGAGGGACAGGATGGTTTCTAAGACATTAAAGATCAGTTGGGGGAACAAACCTATATTTGCCACTGTGTTACAGAAAGCAAATAAAATGCAAATATCCTCAGTGCAAGTGCAACTGTTTGGAACACAGGACACAAATTTCAAGCATGAAAAAGTAATCAAAGATCCCTAGATCTTTCATGTCTCTTCAAATCATATGGAACAAATGTTTACAGCTAATTCCACGCTGCTTTTTATTTTATTCTAGGGAGAAATTAGATTTCACAGTTGAAGGATTTGAGCTCCATCCAGCAAAGAAGGGGGATACCATGCTTTGCAATTCTCTAGGCAGGCAGATATCTGTACAAAGCACAGGCCATGCCTTGCACTTTCTGCTCCGAAGCATCATCCTTCAGCACAACTGAGTGGTTAGCACAAGCACTCTCTGACTCAGCACAAAAGAGTCTGCTCACAGAGGAAAGGCAGCCTGGGCAGTGAAAAGGCAGTGCAACACAAACACATTTTATTCCTGGAACTGTAACCTCATATAAAAAAAAAATAAAATTGAGCATTTCATTTGGCATAATTTCAGGTGGTGTAATTTCTTTTCAACAAGCAGTAAAATAACATTGTGCAGTGGATCTGGACAGGAAGTAGTTCTGCTGTCAAGATTTTTCTTAGAGTATGAAATTGTTTTCTGTCTCAAATTGCAATGAGAAGTCAAAATCTGGAAAACATTTTTTAAACTGGAGCCAGAGCACTCCAGTAATGAAGTGGCTTATATACGCTGCAATGTAAGCAGCTGCTCCCTCAAAGACTGAATACTCAGTATTCTGTTTCAGAGAAACCAAGGGATGTAATAATTTTATAGACTTTTTTGGGTCTTGTGTTTCTCTTTACCTATACCTTCAACCTTTTGTTGCACCCTTAGAACTAGGTCATGTGCCTGTCACAGGTCCACAGACAGCAAGGCAGAAGGCATGCTATTAGATCACAAGGTGATCTAGTATGTCATTTATTGTGCAAGGACATATCCAGAGACATTGAGTTCCTAAATTTAACAGAATATTGTTTTCGGGTAATTATGTCAAAAAGAAGAGTATGTGTTTTCTCTCATATCAAGAAAACAAAATTTTCACTATTATATTTATAATTTTGTTTAATAAATATGTTTAATAAATCTTGTAGGAGTTTACTATTTATTTCATAATTTATATTTGATATATTTAATATATCTTCTTGTGGTTTTTAACACTAGTAATAAATAGTTGTTTCAAGGTACAGTTTATAGAACATAAGTTCTAATATATAAATGAAATTACACATTGTGATAAATACTTTTGTCTCCACTCACTTCTTGGTCTGCACTCATGGCACAGCTCTGTCAAACCCAGAGGTTGTTTTGTTAGTGTTTCTACAAGTAGTAATGGAAATACTTAACCTTTTTTCTAAGCCACACTAAGTATAGACTGCAGTCACTCTGGCTTCAGCTGATGCTCTCTGGGCTCCCAGTGGTCACAAAGTGGATTAGAAACCTAGTCTCACATGAGCAGTATTATCAGCCCTAGCAGTTCAGATAATTACTCAGATTGATTCACCAGGAGTTAGTTAAGAAATTTCATAGAGATCACACAGTGACAACCCCAGAAACAGGATCTGCAAATAATGCTTTAAAATAAAGTTGCTGAAATTCCATCTCACCCATCATTTTTTCTGGCCTCCAGTACCCTTGTGAGCTCCATGAACTTCAGTGGGTTGGAGCTAAAGATTGGATGTTTCCCAGTGTAAGGAAACAAACCCATGTACTGTTAGAAAAAGCCAGAGTTCTTACTGCTCTGCTGTGGGAAGGACAAGTTTTTTACATTTTCTATCAAACCTAATATTTCAATTGCAAAGACAACTTCTCTAAGCTATGTTGATCTAGCTCCTAACTTCATGCTAGTTACTCCTACAATCAGTCAGGGAAGTACTTACTCTGTAATGCCTGAAAAAATTCCTAAAGTGGTGTGGATCTCCTCCTTTCCCCCACATCAGAACAGACGTCTCAATAGATAGATTTCAGCCCCATCTCTTCTTTTATCTAGCCCAAGCTCATACCTCTTTCAGATAATGCATGTGATGGCAGGATTGCCTTTAAGCTGACCCACCAGGGACACTAACATACACAAGTCTGTCCAAAAGGGAGTTGGTGGAAGGTGTTAATCAGGCATTCTGTCCACGGGGAAGGTAGCCAGCTACCCATGGTGGAGTAACAGCTAGTAAAGCCCCCTTTTCCTCTTCAGACTGTTCCTATTAGATATTTGTCTCTTTCTGGGTTCGGGTAGGATTCAATGGATAGATCAAGTGGGTGTGACAGGCGTCATGCAAATTTTCTCTGGGCTCTCTGTATTGAACAGAGACATAACAAAGTGGGTGGCTTAGCACACTTCCCTTTGGAGCTCCAGAACATACAGGGCAAAGACCTACTTTCTTTGCATTTAGGTAAGATAACCTGAAACCATAGTAAACTTGTAGAAATATGATGGATCGCATCCTTCTTGGTATTTCATACTGAATGATTATCAAGACTACGAAAAAAAACATAGATATATATGTATATATATGCAGTGCAAGGACATTTTTACTTTTTGATCTTTTCTCCACTTCACTGTTCCATAAATGTGCATTTGTTTCAGTTGAAAGAAAGAAATGGGAAATTTCCAGTTCAGGGAACACACTTGTCAGTACTACATATGTTTTTCTGGTCTGTAAATAGAAGGATCTTCTTTTCAGTTGTTCTCTATGCTGCTGTAATGACTTCCCTGTTATGCTGCAGGTGTAATACATTTGTGCTTAAAGCAGAATGATGCATGGCTTTAAAAGGAGAGATGATAAAGTAACGGAGTTACCTTGTTTAGATCTACAGTATGTCTGTAGCTTAATTCTTGTATGCTGTGATTGTTTTTACTGAGTGAATAAGCTAAACAAACTCATTTGTTTAAACAGTATTAAACGTGTTTTGTAACCATATATTACTCTAAAATTTTATAAAACATATAGAGGACAATGACTTAATATATTCATTATTACATCTATTACATCAGTTGGTGTTGTTTTGTTTATTAGTAATATTAATAAATATAACTATGATGTTCTTTTAGAGAAATATAATGGAGAAGAAAACAATTCTAGAAGAACTTCTTTTAAAGAAGTCACAACAGAAGAAAAAAATATCACCAATTAATTACAAGAAAAGGTGGTTTGTTCTGACAAATGCACACCTTTCTTATTATGAATATGACAAAGGGGTAAGAAATATTTATTTTTGTTTTAGTAAACAGCGGTCATCTTATTCCTCTGATTTCCTTCTGTGAGACTTGATTAGACATTATGTTGTAGAACAAGTGTACTTTGTTTTTAGTAGAATTATAGGGGATCAAACCCTAGTTTCTGTTGGGGAAAACACTTTGCTGCAGGCTTAAGAGTTTCTCTATTCAGAACAACTCAGAGTTGTGCTTACCATTGAGTATGTGTCCTTCCAAAGAGAACTTAAGCAAGTAATTAACTTGGGCATCTGTTTACACATTGTTGTGAATAGCGATGTTTTCCTTGATCAGGCTTCCCTCTGAACTGATGTAAGTAACTGGCTTCAGAAGTTGCTTGCACGAAGTGTAATTAGTTCAGAATCTCATGCCTCAGCTGCACAAAGCAAATGGTTAAATTATCCTGGTTTCATAAGGAGTGACTGTATATCAGAATAGGGTGGCTTTTCACTCAGATCTCCTGTCAGAAATGCAGATACACATCCCAGGCAACTTATTTAAAAGTTTTTGCTCCTTTTCATACATTTGGACTCCTCCTCTGAGTTACATCCCATTACACAACTGCAGGGATGATCACTGAGAAAAAACTTCGCTACCTTAACAAAATTATGAAAGCCACAGCTAGGCTTCCGCTTTGCACTTAAGGTGTTTTCCTCTTAATTTCTCCTCCTTTTTCTCCTAGTCCCCCCTCCTGCCTTGTGCTCCTGCAGTTGCAGCAGATGTAGGGCTGTGTCCTGTAATATTTGTAACTGATTTAAAAAGGAATTTGATCAATATATTAAATGCAGGTAGGGCACCAAGGAGGTTTTTTACTACCCTACTTTTCAAGCTTAATAACTCTGAAGCTATGGCTTATCCAGCTCAAAACATGAAATTGCACAAAATGCTCAAACTAAAATAATTGATATTATGTTAATATTACTTTACAGTCTGTTATGTTTTTTCACTCATAGAAAAAAGGAAGCAAAAGGGGATCAATTGAGATTGAGAAAATCCGATGTGTTGAGACAGTGAATCCTGAGGAATCAACACCTCCTGCGAGACAATATCCTTTTCAGGTTAGCCATGAAATCTGTTTCCTTTACATTTTGTGTGAAATTTTCCAGTCATCCTAAGGGTATACTGATCATTTCTGTCCTGAGTGGGGATACCTGATATTGCTGAGTGCTACTGATATTTACAGTAAATAGAAAAATCCATCCCCATTACTAAAGCTGTGACTTTGCTGAAATATTTTTAACTGACTGTCATAGAATTTAGATAAAGTGTTGGGTTTTTTATGTTCAAAAGTCTATCAGATATTTGCTTTAATATGATCTGGAATATACAGATCACTACACTATGCGATCATCACTTAAGTGCAGAATTAATTTTTAAGGCAGAATTAAGCACTTAAAAATCTTATTTTAATTCTCACAGTCTCTTTCCACTCATTTTTTATTTTTGCCTCAATGCCAAGTGAGGGATCAGATTCCTGACTGCCCTGACATTCAAATGTCCCACGGTCAGGAAATCCAAGGCTATCCTTTGTGCATGAATCAAAAGATGCAGCTACACTAAGCACTGCACATGTTTAAGAATTAAATCTGATGAGAAAACCACAACTTTAAATTTGCTGCCTTTCGTCTGTTTCAGTTGTCCAGCTCATGTTTGTCCTACAGCCTCCATCAAACTCAATTCTATGGGCAGTTAGACAGGGACATGCAGATGTAAGAAGTGATCAGAGATCCCCTTCTGGAGTGCCACTGCCAAGCAGTGCATCAGCAAGTAGCAGGCTACTACAGTGAACAGCAGGGTTCCTGAACAGTGCTTTAATTCATGACCCTTGAATAATCGCCATGCCCAAGGGTAGCCTCATGAGAGAGACTTAAAATTTCACTGCTGGGTTGATACTAGGTGTCATTCCTGTCTTCCTTTCCCTTCTCCTCCCTCAGTTTTGTGTATTTATCTCACGAATGCATAGAATCACAGAATCACAGAATGGTCTGTGTTAGAAGAGACCTTAAAGACCATCTACTTCAACCTGCCTGCCATGGGCAGGAACATCTCCCTCTAGACCAGGTTGCTCAAAGCTCAGTCCAACCTGGCCTTGAACACTTCCAGGAAGAGGACATAATTCAATTAAATGAGACAAAGAGTGTATGTTATGGTTACAGAATGGGGCACTCTGTTCTGGGAAACAGTATCTCTGAAGAGGACTTGAGGATCATGATACACAATTGAACATAAATTGCCAGTGTAAAGCCGTGGGCAAAGTAGCTAATGGCATCCTTGGACATGGAAGCAAGCACAAAGTGAGCAAAAGCACTCAATATATTTTGACACTATTGTGATCACCAGGACAATATTGTGTCTAGTTCTTGTGATTATAATTGAAGAAATATGTTGTAAACTGAAGAGAGGTCAAAGGAGAGGCTCAAGAATGTCTAATAGATTGGATGGGTAACGTGTTAAAGACAAAAGCTCACAGGGCTCCACCATTTAACTAAATAAAGAGACAGGAGGCAAATTGAACAGTGGTGTGTGCTTACCAGTGGGAGTACACATTTAATGACAAGGGCTTTCCAGTCTAACAAGCAAAAGAAATAAAGTGGCATTTGAAATGCTGTGTACTGAAAAGTAACGTACACGAGTGAAATGAAACCCTGACATGACACAGACACACAGTCAGCCTAGTACTAAATATGATCCAAAAAGCAAAGCAGATGTCAGTAAGTATTAGGTAGGCATCAAGTGCAGCTAGCAGAAGATAGGCTGAAAACAAACAAAATTAGCAGATTGTTCATATTGTGTAGCTATGCTGTAGGACTACTTACTGCAGAATGTTGTAGATACAAGTTATTTGCTTAAAAAGGCAGCTGAACAAATTCACAGAATAAAAATACCTCTCAAAGGGTATTAAGTATAAATGCACCATTTTTGGATCAGGATTCCCTGATCACTGTGTAGCTGTCCTGAGCATATACTCTGCCTTGGTACTTCGTACTGGACACTGTCAGAGAAGGGTTCCTGGCCTCAGTGAGCATTCGGTCTGGCCTTGTGTAACACAAGCCAAAAGCTGGAAGATGCATCTGGAAAAACTGAAGTGGAAAAAAAGAGTTTCTATGTGGGCTATAAGGTCTTTTGTACATAGAAGATGGGAATATCTAGAAATATTTAATGCTGTCCTTTGTTTCTGCAGCTGTGCTTTAGGGCATGAACCACTTTGATTAAGGTGGTTTATGTTTATGTTTATGTTTATGTTCATGTTCATGTGCATGTGCATGTGCATGTGCATGTGCATGTTCATGTTCATGTTCATGTTCACGTTCATGTTCATGTTTACTTACATTAAATATGAACTAGTTATATGAAATGGCAATAATACAAGTGACCTTTGAGGAACATTACTAAGTGGTGAACGTTCAATGTCGGTCCTCAAAGCCTATTTTTTTTAGTTCCTATTCCCTTCTTCTTTCCCCTCCCGGACAGTAGCATGTTTTCAGGCAGAACACTCTCACCATGAGGCTTTCCCAACCTCTTCCAGATTGTGTACAAGGATGGCCTGCTCTACGTCTATGCCGCCAGTGAAGAGAGCCGGGAGCGGTGGCTTGCAGCTTTGCATAAGGGTAACATCATTCCTTAGTGTACCAAAATATTCAAATAATGAGAGGAGAGATAGGAAAATGCTCCTGCACCATCGTTTTGTGCAATTCTTTGTCACCTGCTTTTAGTGTCATTCATACATCAGCACTGGCTGGTTGAAATGCATGGTATTTTTGAGAATGGATTGGAAATCTTGAAGTCTGAACATTTTATTAAGAAAAAGCCAAAATAGAGCTTATTTTTATATTTCTCACGTACAGTTTTTAATCTTCTTCATACATTCAGCCTTTACTGATGCAAATTAACAGGGCAGAAACATTCCTGATGTGGCTAGTACAGTGCTAACCTGCCTGGATGCCATTTTGATAACTAATATTGCTGGTGCTTTTTCCTTTGTATTCCGCCCCCCTTTTTTTTTTCAACAAAAAATTCTATTGCTTTCAATGAAGCAAAATCACAGTCAAGCAAAGTGCAAGTTAAAAGCAGAAAACTGTGTCCCTGCATAACTACGCGAAGACAAAAACCTCATGCTGAATAGGGCAGCTCTTGCGCATGCTGACCATTGTAAGAACAAAATTAGGCAACCTATAATAGGCTGTGAACAAATATCTTCCTCAATTTTATTTGTAAGCCTGTGTATGAGCTACCTCTCTGTGACTCTCTTTACATGCACAGAAGTGACAGTTTGTCAGTTAATTTGGCAATGTCCTGGAAAACATGGACCAGAAGCAGAATGGGAAGCATTCAACAAACTGACTGCATTGATTGAGCCTTCTAGAAAACAAGATTTTCTGTAAGATCTTTTAAAACAGAATTGGTGGAGAATAAGGTTGTGTAAGTGATACATTTTGTAATGCTCATGAGACAAATAACAGCACAAATATTTAAAGGGTGAGTGTCAAGAGGATGGAGCCAGGCTCTTCTTGGTGACAAACAATGATAGGACAAAGGCTAATGGACACAAACTGGAACACAGGAGGTTCCACTTAAATTTGAGAAGAAACTTCTTCTCAGTGAGGGTAACAGAGCACTGGAACAGGCTGCCCAGAGAGGTTGTGGAATCTCCTTCTCTGGAGACATTCAAAACCCACCTGGACGCCTTCCTGTGTAACCTCATCTAGGTGTTCCTGCTCCAGCAGGGGGATTGGACTAGATGATCTTTTGAGGTCCCTTCCAATCCCTAACATGCTGTGATTCTGTGATTCTGTGAAATATTCTAATGGCTACAAGCCTTTCAAAAAGCATATAAAAAGCACTTGTCACCAAGGCGTGCCCTGATCCTTTTGCTGCTCTTTCACATACTCTGGGATCTGGGCTTTACCATGGCTCACCGCAACAGGACTGAGAAAGCCAGTCGTGAAACAATCAGTTTTTAAAGTTTCAATCTATACTTTCTACATTTCTTTTAAATACAGAACTAATGGATTACTAGCACAGTGATACTACTGAGGCCATTTTTTTAGGGTAAACCAGTGCTTTGAATATAAAGCAGATATTTCTGTGACAGTGTTCCCTTTTGGTGTGCTTGAATAAGAAATGTATTTTAATAGATGTTAGTTTGGATTTGCCATATTGATACTGAGTAACTTTTCCAATCCTGAATATCAGTAATTATAATTTTCTTACAATAGATAGTTCTAGAAAAATATTAAGAATCTTTTAGTATATGAAAATGTTTTAATTAGTTTCAATACTGATAACAAAATCTTTATAAGATCCTTTACTTTGAATCATAGCTGTTGGATCCTGTTTTGGCTTCAGGAGTTTCGTTAGATTGTACTGTAGCTCCTTCTTGACACCCAGGTTTCTTTCTCAAAGAAACAGGTATCTGGGGTGGGAATGGATTTCAGACTTAGGTTTGCATAGAGGAAGGTGGTATAGAGAGAAAATGTGAGCAGGATGTGTGCTAGAGCTAGGAGTAAGCACTAGTAAGCACAGTAAGCACTTTGGAGTCCCATGGGTTAGTGCAGCAGACTCTATTGTTCATAAGGAACATTCCTATTTTGAAGCCTGTCATGTTCTCTTTGGTTTCTTTGTGCTTTCCAGAAATTAAAGACAATTCTGCTTTACTAAACAAGTACCATAAAGGATTCTTCATCAATGGGAAGTTTCTCTGTTGCAACCAGACCTGTAAAGCAGCCCCTGGATGTACTATTTGGGAGAAATGTAATGTGTTCGTTTATTTCTTTAATTAGTCTTGTTGATGTTTTTCATAAAATTGACAAATCATGTGGACATTTAAGGCAGTATGATCAATATAAATGCTAATCTACTTATACCTTTTTGTGTATGTGCTAAGTTCCTTTTAACAACCTAGTTGGTATACATTGTATCTTATAGTGTAACCGGGGGAAATTATATGCTAAATTATACATGCTGTGTTTGATCAAGAATTTAGCCACATTTTTACCTACAAAATAAGCCAGGTGGAATTATTTTTCTCCTTATTCTTTAGATATCTAGCAAAATGGTAGCATTATGCTGTAACACCCTTCTAGTGGTGAGGTCCCATAAGCTGGATGGGTAGGAACGGTAGAAGTTCAGTGCAAGAATGTGTATGAATGACTGTAAAACAATACTGTTTCATAACTAAACAGAAGTAAAACTATCCTATTACTATGTAATTATATTTATGTGATTTGTTTTTCCTAAACAGTGATTTACCTTGCAGCCTATTTTCTATTTCAACATGTTTTTTATTAATTTTTGTAGAACTTAGTCGGAATTATTTTGGAGTTTTAGTTTTTATCTGTAAAGACAGAGAGGAAAATTTGTGAAGTGGTATCCTCCTAGGTTTCACATTTTCAGAAGGGAATTCCCTCATGCCTGTGTATGTGCTTAACAGTGGAAGGCCACGTTTGGGAGGAGGAACAGCAGTTTATAAGTATTTGGGCTTCAGCCTTTTAAAGATTGATTATTTGGAATTGTAGAGCACTGGTAGATCCACTGTTTCAATCATGATTGAACCTTTATCTAAAGCAATTACAGTCATAATGAAAAAAAGTTAGAACCAAAAATTTAAAGTTAAAACCAAAAATGTAGGTGTGAGCAGTTAGGAACCTGATTTAGACCTGTGAGAGTGCCTGTAACAGTATGGCATTTGCTTTTGAAAATTGAAATTAATGATAGAGGCTTATCTACTATTACTAGAGGTTGATTATGGAACACTAAATAATGTAAAGAGTTGTCAGCTGACTTGTAACAGTAATTTGAATAGCTTTATCTAGCTTCAAAATCACTTGTTAGAAAAGCAAAAAAAGCCATGAAACTCCTGGCCAGTTGCAAGGACGAGGAAATACCACACTACCAGTCATGGGTGACTTAGCCAAGAGAAGAATGAAAAAGAGAATTTTTGAATATTGAACACTTTGTTTATGTCTGAGATAATAGTGCATGCAGGATAATGTGCTGTATCTACTCTAAATTTTTTTCTAAATAAGTTCCTGACATTGCTAACAGAGATGTGTGGAGCACAGGGAGACTGTGCAAGGATGACTCTAGACAGCCTGTCTTGTAACCACTGGGTAATTGAAAGCAGTATTTCTTAATCACTGCTTCCTAAACTAAATGTGCCAATGAAATGAACTTTAAAAAAAAAAAAAAACAGAATAAAAAATAAAACATGTGTATTTCCCTCTGTATGCAATCAAATAAGCTAGCAGAACTGGGAAAACCACAGAGCTAATTACAATCACAAATTTCCCTGAATTTGTATTTTGGCACAGATGAAGACAAACACAGAGGTTTTAAAATATATTGATGTGGTGCTTGAATTAAGAGAAGGTTGGAATACAGAGATAAAGCAAATCGATACCTCAGGGATGTGAAATGTCAGCTGTCACAATGCTGTTGCTGCCACTGTACAAACCTGCAAGTAAGAAAGCCTCAGAAGATAAAGCCTTACTTAAATCTGTTTTTTTCTTTATTTCTCTCTCTCTTCTAGATGTGACCCTGTGTTGCACAACTGTGTCTGTGAAACCATTGCCACCAATCCCTCAAATGCTGGTAGGTGAAAACATTTGAGTATCTGGCTACAGGGAAAGATCCAGCATTCAGTTGGTAGGGAGGGCTGTGGGATGGGATGGGATGGGATGGGATGGGATGGGATGGGATGGGATGGGATGGGATGGGATGGACGATTGCAAACTGGAAGCTGATGTAAACTTCTAATCTGCAGTGCAGCTTCAGCATCCTTGTATGCACCAGCATGTCAGAGGGAAGGACTGACCTCTTCCATATGCTATAAATAGTAAACTAGGAAAGTCTCAGCCACGTTCAGTACAATTTGACATGCTGGTGGCAGTACTGGCTACAGCCCCTGTAGGGATGTCTTTTACTTTATACACTTATTTCCAGTGGGATCAGGGAATGGCATCAAAATTAGATCTCTAGTGTGTAGGAGGACTCCATTCCTAGAGATGACCACAACCCTCCCCAGTGAAAATGGTGCCCATAGTACTTGGAGAAAACATTGTATCTGAAGATGTGAACAAATATACCTGCTTTGGATGGGGGATAAATGGTGGATCGACTGCATTTGTCTCAGGCAAGCCCTAAGTTGTGCTGCGCTGGCGTTGGTTCAGGAGTACAGATACCTGTTTAGCCCAACTTTACTGAGGCAACCTCTAAGTTAATGAATTGAGGAGTGCATCTGAGCTCTTTATGTGCTCTTGCCTGTATCTTTCCTTTATATCAGAGAGAAACCCAAAAGTATGATGTCCCATCAGCACCCACTGGGCCTTACTATCCATATGAGAAACACAGCCTTTCACAGACCAATGAGACAAACAGGACATCAGGATGCCAAAAAACACTACTCATGCTTAATTCAGCCTGAGTCCTCTAGCACATCAGTTGCTCCATGAAGAAGGTCAACAGTTGGCAGGGTTAAGAATAAACATAGGACTGAAAGATCTGCTTCTATGCTTATTTCCTTATACATCTCCTGTACAAATACAAGGGCAACAGTGGTATCTTTGACCTTAGTTTTACTGCCTAGCTAAAGTATTGAGGTTTGTAGGTGGGAAGGAGGTAACAATGACAAGAAAACAGAAGAGACCAAAGTGGCTTCAGTTATGATGTTTTTATTTCTTTAAAAAAGGACTGACAGTATGGTCTGACTGTGTATTCACACATCGTTACCCCAGCCTCCTTCAAATTAAACCAGATTGAGTTTCAAATGATGGAATTTTTAAACCTGTATTTCCTGCTTTATTTTAATTTGTCTTCTATTCTGTATCTTTAGAATGACATACATTTCCTACCTTCTTTCTGTTAATCAGAAAGTAACTTAAAGAAAAAAAGCTGGATTTTTTGTGTATATAGTTGACATGAAGAGCCAGGGCTTTAAAAAACACATAGATTATCAAGAGATGGAAGATAAAATCACAAGAGCAGTAAAACGGAGCTTTAAGAAAAATAATAATAAAGCCTTGGAAAGAAGCTATGAACAAAGAACCTTCTGACATTTTTTCTGATAACAACATCTGAAAGTAACAGCATTGTGAACATGCAGAAGCATAACTTGTTTTGAATACTGTGGTCTGTTTTGCCTGGCTTCAATCGGGAGATGCTTTGTCTATCTGGAGAGATCATCAGTCATGCAAATCTGCTGCTGAACATGCTGGCTTCTGCTAGGCCTTTATGATTTATTTTTATTATCTGCTTGCGTTCAGAGAAGATATTTTGAAAGGGAAATGTAAAAAGCAGAGACGTGACATTTTTCAGATGGGTACTTCTGAAAAGTGTTCAGTAACTGCAAATTTAATAACTACCACATCTGGTTAGAACAACTTGACTTCATTTTCCAAGCCACATGGTACAATCAGATAAGAAGGCTTCTCATAGTGAGGAAAAGTCTATATTTAGTCACAGAGCTACTTCTATAATCTCTCAGGACATTTTTACTTTGTCCTTTCATCTACTCAGTTATCACCAGAGGTACCACCATAGCCTCAGCCTTCCTTTCACCTGTCTCAGTTCATGTCACTCACTTCTCCAGCGTCTGCAAGTCTTGCTCCCTCATTTTCTTCCCAGATGACCAAAGGCATTACCTTTGCATGTAGGCAAAACTGACCAGAAAGGTTACTTTTGCATGCTTACATCTTGCAGCTTTGATGCTTCTGCCCTTTTTGTCAGTTCAGCATTTTACCTCTAGTCTCCCACAAAGGAGCTGGTTCCTAAAGAATGATGCCATGATAAATACTAGTGGGCAGAAGGGTCCCTTCGTGGGAACCAGTGGGCACTTCTCCTGTGCTTTGGTAACAGTGGGAAGCAGAAGTTTCATGCTTGAGAAACACTTCCACCTTTGCTGGTGCCCAGCATCCACTGTGTTTGCAAGGAAATATGGTTCATATAGGTCAGACCAATACTGCAGTAAGTCAGACAGAAGTCCACTGAGCACACACACATATGTTCTCGTGATGATGTATTGGACAAGTTTTGTGAAAGCTGAAGTGATTCAGCACATTCTTCCAGCTGTGTTGTGGTAGGAGTGTAGTCCTGCAGATACTAACCATTTCCGATATGCACATCACAGCTGAATTTCAGACTGTCACCTATGGCTCTTTCTAGATGACAGTGGCACAGTCATCAATATGAAAACCACAATAGTATCACTGCCAGCATAAAGGAATTATTAAGATTCACTCAGTTTCTATTAGGAAATACTCTGGGGCTCTCAGCCAGTGCTAGAAATGGAAAGCTGCATATATGAACACAAATCAGGGCACTAATCTGTACCAGGTTACAGATAAAGTCCATCCAGAATATTGCAACAGACAAATACACATCCATCAGTGAAACCCAAAGGAATGCAAATCTGATGTGCTCATCTTTGGCTGATTCTTTTCCCTGGCAAGTTGGACAAAGCAAAATTAATTTCTGTGATAATAATTCTTTATGCCATTTACTTTGGCCAAGACTTTGCAATTTCTTCTGTTCACACAAAAAGATGAAAGCTCCATCAGAAGATGACAGACTGACCATTCCGCAAGCAAAACACAGGAAATTAAGAAAGAACAATTTAATCTCCAAAAATTACCTAAGCCAAATGTCAGAGGTGCACATCAGCTCATAAATACGTTTACTGAATATCAGCTTGTTCTAACATCACTAGATGCTTTAAAAAGAAAACAATTTAATCTCTGTATTATAATTTTTCTCCATCTTTCTAACAACTGCAGACAACTCTAGTTCTGTCATTATTCCTCAAAACAAATGAGCAGTCTAAGGCTTGAATCCTGCCTATCATGGACCCTCAAGCTATAAGCTCCCTTCCGCCAAAGTCAAATATGACCAACAGGAACCACCCTTACTGAGTTCAAGTAGTAGTACTTGATGAGTAACAGACCTACTTTTAGTCAAATAAAGAGGACTCTGCTGTGAGTGATACCTCTTGAAAGAATGAGTGTCTTCTCTGAAGCTTAGTGAGATCAGGCTGAGACTTTTGTGTGTTTGCAGGAAGAGAACATGTGTGTCTTCTTGCTCAGTGGACTTAATTAGGCATTCACTTCAATCATCAGTTTATCCTTGTTTAAATCAATTATAAAAAGTCAATAAAGAGGAAACAAGCAAACAGACAATGTCATGGTCACTTGAACTTGACTTAAAGGAATCACAGCCTGCTTCAGGACACTTGGCATTTTCCCCTGTTATTGCACTGCAGTGATTTTCAATTATAAATAGCTGGCATTTGGAGCCTCTTGTCCCAAGTCTTTGTTTCCCTCATCCTTTGCTGTTAGTGTTTCACGTGTAGTTTTCTCTGCTTTTAAAGATTTATGATGTCTGAATTTTCTCAGTTAAGACATTTCCCTGATTTCTAAATGCATTTCAATGGCTTAATTTTAGATGCCGTTTTGGCTATGATTAGATTGATGTCAACTAACTTTAATGTCAAGCTTGTAATGCAGGTCATTTGTGTAGACCTCCTCAGCAATCACTGATGAGAGGGAGACACTTCTGTAGGATGACATATTTCACATGAAGACACAGGTCCAAGCTAGACAAGATGAATCCCATGGTTACATACCTACACTTGTTTAACCTTGTATAGAGAAAGTCAGGCACCAAGGAGCGGGATTTCTTATATCCAATATGCTCAGCAGAGAAATATCAATAAAACATGGTAAGGAAAGGGAATTATTTAGAATGAATGTAGCATTTTGCTTTCAGTGATTAGTGGTAACAATTGACTAATGCTTGTTGTGCTTCAAGTAAGCAATGTTACCTATTGATCGAAAGTCATTCAAAAAAACAAAGTTATAGTACTGTGGTGGGGTCTTTTGATACAACAAGACATCATCACAGTTATAGTAAAGCAAATTTAATCATGTGATGTCCAAAGCACATGAATTGCAGCTTTCATTAAGTAGTAACAGCTTCAGATAGGCTTTTGGTAGAAGTCAAGCCTGTCCCATAGTCCTGGAAATGAGATCTTCCTATTACAGCAATTTCAGCCTCCACTCAGAGGCACCATTATCATGGAATTTGGTTCTGTACTCACCTGTCTCACAAATGTGGTCAACAGTTTCTGGGCTGTGCTTCTAAGTGGATGAGGAAAAAGCTACTTGCCTGTGCCCACCTTCTTAGCATTGATTAATTTGCCTAATATCATTTTACATGTTGAAGGCATAAGTGATCATGTACTTGTCACATGTTATTTCTTACTGTACCCTGTGCTGCATCTCCTTATCATTTTATTTCCTCTGTCTTCAAAAGTGGAAACGTAGAAGCCTGCATCAGATGCTACCCTCAGACAAGTCAGTCCTGAAAATGGCTGTGGCCCAATGCAATTATGAACCCAAAGAAAATTCAGCTGTCCAGCTTGTCAGAAGCAATAAATACTATATATTGCAAGAGGAAGATTCTGATTTGTGGCAAGTAAGGGATTTGGAAGGGTAAGTATGCGCTGCAGAACACTTTTGTTCCATGACCATGGTCTTCACATATCTCATCTTCATAGACAACACTACAGGCAGTCCTGATATCTTTCAGGATCTTTGTTAGGATCACCTTAGCAGCTTTTAAAGGTTACTCTAGAAGCCTCAATATCTTCTATGCAACTCCATTTTTATTGCCATCCTTAGCTGCCAGGTCAGCTAAAATTTACAACAGTCACTGCCTGCTATACTAAGATAGTATCCACTGTCCTTAATTTTAATATGTTCCTGAAGAAGGGCTTGTTCATACAAAAGCTGTCCATTTTTTCCAACAATTTAGTTTAAGTGAATAAAAAGATAAAATCTCTCCTCAGAAGTCACAGAATCACAGAATCGCTCGGTTGGAAAAGACCTCCGAGATCATCACGTCCAACCGCTCCTGTCTACCCCCTAAACCATATCCCTAAGTACCTCGTCTACCCGCTCTTTAAATACATCCAGGGATGGTGACTCCACCACCTCCCTGGGCAGCCTGTTCCAGCCTCTGACAACCCTCTCAGTAAAGAACTTCCTCCTTATCTCCAATCTGAACCTCCCTTGGCACAGCTTGGTGCCGTTTCCCCTTGTTCTATCCTCCATCACCTGGGAGAAGAGACCAGCACCCACCTCTCTACAGCCTCCCTTTAGGTAGTTGTAGGTGGTGATGAGGTCTCCCCTCAGCCTTCTCTTCTCCAGGCTAAACAACCCTAGTTCCCTCAGCCACTTCTCATAAGGCTTGTTCTCCAGACTCCTCACCATCCTTGTGGCTCTTCTCTGAACACGCTCTAGAATCTCAACATCTTTCTTATAGTGAGGGGCCCAGAACTGAACACAGTACTCGAGGTGCAGCCTCACCAATGCCGAGTACAGGGGCATAATCACCTCCCTGGACCTGCTGGTCACACTGTTTTTAATACAGGCCAAGATGCCATTGGCTTTTCTGCTGCTGCTTTTCTTTGCATGAAAGCGTTTTTAGACAATAACTGTTACTACTGCAACAGCAGTGACAGCAAAGAGACCAGTGAGAACTGCTAAACCACAAAGCACTTAGTTCAGCCTCTCCACAGCTTTAGCAACACTTTTCCACAGAGACAAAGGGCACCTCAACCTGTGCAAGAGAGAAGAGTTTAATTGATCTCTTTGAGGTTCATTACTGGAGGAATTCCCTTCAGCAACTTAAAATAAGATATTTTTCATTAATATCCAGCTGGAGCAGAAAAGAGCATCTCTTCCCAAGTTATTAAATGAGAAACAGCTTTAGGTGTACACTGGAGACAAAGGCAGTGCAACAAACAGGAGGTACCTGGAAGATATAAGATTCCTTGCTCTAGCTGAGTCTGATTTTATGTATTTATTAGACATGTGAAGAGGAAGAATTTTTGAGGTAGGGGTTGCCCAAACTGGTTTGGAACAGGATGAAATTATTTGATCCACTCATAGTTCACTGATTAAGTTTATAAATGCAAGGAAACCGACAAATAAAGCAACTTTAAGATAAAGTGGCTGCACTTTATGACTCACAGGATTTTCATACTGTTCTGGGTGAAGAAAGCAGCACACAACCTCAGCAACTCAAAGGCAGTAACAAATTAGTAAGCTGATTTATGTTCCTAAATGCCTCCACTGGACTGTTTATGACTATATAGAAGTATATGATACAGGCAGCCCTGCTTATAGATTAGAGGGCTCTGAGATAAATGAAGGAGCAGAGACAGATCAAAAGAAAGGGGGACATCTCCAATTTTTCATTTGACTTGAGAAATTGAGACTTCTACAGTATTGATTCTGTAAGTACAAGTCACACATACATCATAACAAAACCTTTAAATTCTGCTTGAAAAAAATTGAAGATCTTGTTTTCTTGAATGTAGGAGTTACCAGTTTCACCTGTTTTCATTCACTCTCAGTTTTCTTCTCTTTCTGCTGAGATCTGGGTTGAAGAAATCCTTCCTTTCTGTGTCCATCCATATTCAATATATAATTTATCCCTCCTATTTATTTTTCTGATGGGCACGACATACAGCCTACCCCCTTGTAACTACAGATGCCTGTTGTGCCCCATAACTTAGGTCCATCATGCCATGCTGCCAGCTGCTTTAAGTGGTAGCTCAGCAGTCCATATTCACTTAGCTTAGCTTCTCAATTGCATCTGGCACTGTGTCCAGAAGAGTGCTGAGCCTAACCATTGACTTTCTGCATTTGACATTATATACCCTGCTGGGCTGGCACCCATTACGAGATGGCATATAATGATACTGTTGAACAGCTGCTCCAGTCTTCCATATGATGAAACCCATTATGGAAGAAGAAGCCATTTCAATGACTAGCAAAAAAGAGTACTTTATTGAAATATAATTTTCTAAACCAAATTACTTCTGTATATTTCTACATGGTAAGTAAAAGCAGATATATTTTAACCATGAGCATTTCTATTAGTTGCATTCTAAAAAAATGACTCACTGATTAATCTCTTTTCCTATTTAAAGTGACCAAAGCTAAGATGCAGTCATGTACGATAGCTAAACTGTGAACTGTTTATTTTGCAGGAATGAAGGTTTTGTACCAAGCACTTGCTTGAGAAAGTTATCTCTGAATGATGATGAGCCAAGGTGAATCAATATTCAGTCATCCACTGCTCAAATGTTCTCCTCACTGCTCTAGTAAAGATTAGGCAATATTTCTGGGATATTTTTCTTCTTAAATAACTTTCTGAGTACTAAGCATAAAGTTCCTTGAAAGGTATAGAATCACATAAAATTTGGCTTCTTCACTCATAGATTAATGTAAAAAACATGAGTTGAAAATCCTGGTTTCATTTAAACCAGTAGAGTTTTGCCACTGACTTCAATGGCACTGGGATTTCAATCTTTACAGTCTTCTTTCACCATTAAATCAGCCTTGCTAGCACCCTCGTGTCTTTGTATGTATGTCAGTAGTTCACTATAGGCTAAAGGGAGTCCAGGTCTGTCAAAGTGATACATCAGATCCATCTTTCCCTTTTTATTAAGATTGTAAGCATTAAATGTATGCCTAAGTATTTGAATAAAAATTTCACAGAAACATAACAGATTGTCTCATAGTAGACCATGCTGGACAAGACTCAGAGGTTTCCTTAAAAAGCCCCACTCATAGTATTCTGTAAAAGGAAGCATAAATAAGAATCATTATCATTTGTGCAAAAGAGGTTATTTTAGAGGCCTCTTTTTCTGTCACATGAACTCCTGATGACTGTCATGCTAAGAACACTTATTTGGTAAGTCTAGGGTTGTGCAATTTTGGGAATCTTCCATGTAAATTTTGAAAAGATAGATGCAATCTCTACATAAGATCAGTAAAGGAATAAGTCGTTTCAATTGCCTGTTACAGCATGCACAGAGAGTATTTGGCTTTCCAACACATTGCACATAAAAACGCTGCATAAGTGTTTAACAAGTCAAAAACTCTATACAACTAAATATGTCTCAACTTTTCGAAATATTCACCTAAGACCATGGCATAACTACTCAAAAATATATGTATCATGACTTTTAGCCCAAGAAAGGTATTTTTCATAACTAGTTTTTCACAATTTCAGCATGTTGTTTTGTCTTTGCAGGGAAAACTCCAGTGTCAGTGAACAGACATTGGCAGAAGAGCAGGATATTGCTAAGCATGAGTGAGTATATAAAATATGTCTTCATGAGACACAAAAGATTCTTTGGGCATAGATTGCCTTTCTACTTTACGTGTCCACTATACCTAGAGCAATGGTACCCTAGCATATGGCTGTCATAATAATGATAATAATTATAGATATTGTCATCAGCAACATCACTGCTCACAGACTACCAAAGGCATGAACATATTTGCTTTCAGACAAAAAAGTCATCTAGACAAATCAGTCTTGAATGCTAAAGGGATGCTTCACTAAAGTGAATTGTTATTAAAAAAGCTTCATTGGAGCTCCCTGAATGGATCTGACATAGCATGTTTGGCTTGTTTCCTCCGTTCACTTAAATATTATGAGAACCAGAAGGTTCAAAGCTAGAGGAGAATTATGCATCTCCCAGCTTTTAGGGAAACAGCTGTGTCATACTCTGCAGAAGACAGGAAAGACTACTTGTGATGGAGCTCCTGGCAGAACTTTAGGGCAGCTGGAACCTCCTGTAAGGAGTTACTGTAAAAAGTCAGAGTCACAGAGAGGGCCCAGATATTTCAGGGTGAGGAGAGCCACTGGATGAGAGGAAGAAGATGAAAACTATTGTTTTCCCTTTTATCTCATGGCCTAAAATCACATATACAGGACAAGTCCCAAATCAACTCTCTGGCTTTTAAAAGCATTTTAAAAAATATTTATGACATCTGGCATTTTTCATGTGTCTGCTGTGCCTTATCCATAAATCAGCCTTTGAATAATAAGTTTAATATTTCTCTTTGCAGTTGGTATACTGGTAATATTTCCCGTGCCCAGTGTGAGCAGCTGCTCCATCAGAAGGTCCTATATATCCTTTATTTCTTGTATATAAAAAACTATGGAAATGTTTCTGTGTTGTCTTTGCTGTACTGTGTAGCTAGAGGATGCTGATGCTCTTCAAATAGCTGTTGTATTACAGAGTGCTTGAAACTCCTGTGCTAATTTAGTATGGATAAACAGATCTCCAAAAATGCCTGGATGCGTTAATGGCTCTTCTACATAAATGAACAAATAACGCACTTCTAAAATAGGCTTGGAACAACTGAGTGCATTTCCCCTCAAAGCTCTGCTTTTTGGTTTTACCTCTCGACCTGTGTTATTCGCTCCAGTGTGGCTCTTTCTGCAGGTCAGTGTAGAGGAATCCTCTGGGATGGTTTTAAGATATAAAAAAGTGCAGTAAAAGAAGTTCATCCAGACAAGCAGACAGTTCTGAGCAAACTCAGTGCTATGCCAGTTGAGCATTGGCTGGATGCAGCTGACTAGGTGCAAGGGTGGATAGCACCATAGGACTAGTCAGGTGAACAAGTCTTTACATCAAGCAACTGCAGAAACACTTGTCCATGTACCTTTCTGGAGGAGACAGAGCCTCACCCATGCTTTGCTCTTGGATGTGCTGTATAAACAAGTTTCCCTCTTGTGGCTTGCTGCTTTCTCATAGCCAGTCTTATCGGTACTCAGCCACTAACAACTTTGATATAACTGGACCCTTTGGGACCCTTGCCTCAGTGTCCTTTCCCTTGGACCTGCAGCATGGATTCAGGAGTGAAATTCAAGTGTGGCAAATCACTGGAGAAAGGCAGTTATATCCCAGTCCCAAAAGTTGCTGGATACTCCTGACTCCAGTTAACTTTAAAGGGACATGAAGTTCCCCTTTGAACTTCACAGCAATGAAGCTTGGGCTGTATGTGAGGTTCTAGATGTCTTCTTTCCTCCTTGCAATAGCCATTCCTAGCACATTAGGGATGTATCTGCTAAATGAACTCTGAAAACCAGAATTTCCAGCCCAGTATGGTAAACCACTAACCAAAGTAAAATTGGATAGTCAAAATTAGGATTGGAGAACCACATGAAGACTTAAAATAGTCCAAATATAAGAGTGCAGTGAAAATCGTTCTATTTATTCAGTGATTCAGAAATATTTTGGCAATAGAAAATACATCAGCCTAATGCATTATGTAAAGGAACTGTGTATGGTGGTTAGAGCTCTTATTCAGATGGGATGTATGTAGCAGTGTTAGGGTATTCTAACATATACTGCCTCTGGAGGGGACATGAGGAAGGAAATAGGGTTGAAAACTCTCCATCTCCCCAGTTATAAATCTTTATCTGTGCACCAAAACAAAATTGCAGACTACTTGCTTCATGTCAGGACTGGAGTACAACTCACCTAATTTTAAAACATTACAGTAGGATACCACAACTGGTTACCTAGATTCTATTTTTTAGTTGAGAGAAATAAATATTTCTCATTCATAATTCATTTTGACCTAATGTAGTCTTCAAAGGAGGTCACATGAGTCAGGTCTCCTTCTCTCCTTTGTGGACCTTACAGTGTAAAAGAATAAAGTTCACTGAAATTAATCCAAATTTCACTGTTCCTCATAACTTACATTTTTATTATTATTAGGGAAAAGAAGGTGCTTTTATGGTTCGGAAATCTAGCCAAGCAGG